TTTGAGAGCACTTTTTATATAGTCTGCTTCCCTGTAGAATCAAGTCAGTTCCTCTTTGTTTGTGTGAATCTTTCATACAGCAAAGGAGGATGGGGAGGGGACTTTTTAAAATACAAGAAAAATGTGACTTTAAAAGTCACAAAAATTGGCTGGGGAGACTTAGGGCAGGTGTAGTACATAAATTACTCAAATAATTTGTTTTAAAAATACACTTATGGGTAACATTTTCAAAAGTGCCAAGTGACTTGGGAGTCTAAATCCCATTTTCAAAAAAGAATTAGGAAATTATTTCTAACTTTACACTTACCATCTATTTAAAAATATTTTATTTTTCATTTTAGGTCATTACTTCTAGTTATACCACAAGAAGACATCTTTACTTGCAAGACGCCATGTTAGTAGCACTTCAACGTTTGAACTCCAGGGTAAAATTTTCAAAAATGACATAGGCACTTAGAAATAATTTCCTAATGCTAAATAGTGAGGGAGACCAGACAAGAATAGAAAAAAATTTATGATTAAAAAGTTTGAGGCAACACTAGTGAAAGTACTGTAGAGACAACACTTACAAGGTTGTTATAGAGAAGAGGACAATTTTAAGTAGTGCAGAGGACAACCCAAGCAATGTTTTCCAACTTTATTATCTAGGATTCATTACTTTTTAAAAATTGTCTCCATATTCTTTAGGCTTCCTTAAAAACACAAATGGTTGGTACAAGCACTACCCACAGTTGGTTCTGAAGTATTTCATCTGTTACCCTATTACAAACAGAATGTGTATTGAAAATACCGCCAAGAACATTATCAAGGGGTCCAGAATCAGTTTTTACCACCACAACTAAGACCAACTGCTTCATTCCTTCACAAGGATACTTTTTCCAAAAAATAATTGAAATGTGAAGGTGATTGCTTCTCCACCATAAATGCCTTTCACTCCAGGTAAGTTGACTTCCTTACATCAAAGGAGCAAAGTGACAGAAATGTGAAAATCAACGGAATGGCCAAACTGGCTAGGAAACAAGTAACAGCTGAATCAAACCTCTTTTTGAAGATCTGAAAATTACTGTGCTCTTTTATCCTCATCCTACTCCCTCCCCCACCCCACATCACCCTTCTTATATATTTCAGTCTTTCATATGCCTCTACGCTTTCTGGCTTTAACAGTAAACACTGGTGCAGTATTTCTGCCCTGGCTAGCCCAAACCTAAGCAGCACTGGAATTCTCAGATTCTCATGGGAAAGAGTTTTCTCACAAAATATCCAATCCAATTTTTCAACCACATTTGTTCTGAAACTTCTCATTTCACAGGACAGGGAATAGGGAGATCATTCTCTAGGTGGGTGGCCAGCAGCATCAAGTTTGTAACAAGCTTTACTATGAGGTATGCTGAACAGAGGCCAAGGCAGCTCCAACAGTTGGAAAAATAAATACACCAAGAGAGAACACAAGCAGCTGTACAACAGCAATAGCTGCTAAAGGGGCCAGCAGGTACAAAATATACACAGCCTACACACTTCCTCCTCCTTAATTCAGTGTAAAACAAATGTGCACAATTGGGTTCTGCTGTTCATTTTCTACCTTCTTGCTGTAAAAAGCAAAAACACTCATTGGGGTTCTCATTGGTAGGGAGCCCAAGGACAAGGAGTGTCCCCAATCCACTGCTGTTCTACTAGTTACAGACCCTGCAATACAAGATTTCTACCTGTTCTGGTAAGAAAATTAATCAGTTGATGATGGAACAAATCAACAATCCAATACCATTCACACTCTTATGAGCCAGGTACTGGTGTTCCAGGCAAGCTGGGCAAGCCCTCCCATGCTCCTAGCTCACTGGTATTGTTGAGTTGATGGTAGGGGAGGGTTGTCTCAGGCAAGGGGTTAAGGTGTCTTAAACCCCTTTGTTTTACTTTTACGAAATTAAACAGTTAGTATGGTTTGAGGTTTGCATAAAGGTATGACTGGCCTATTCCCACTGCAAACAGGCATCATAAAATGTATCTTAACCTTTTACTAAACACACAAAAAGAAGAAACACCCAGTTAGAACATTAGAAACTTAAAAAAGTGAAGAGAAACTTTATTTTAACTATTTTCTTTATTTTGACTTAAGTTTTATGAGGGGGAAATTTCTTGCTTAATAATTTAGATTGTATTAAAAGTCTTGTTTTGGGGTGGTGTCAATTTTAGATGGCCCTGAGTTGAAGTCAGCCTTGTTTTTTGATATTGTCTTAAAAAGCAGATAAGTGCACACAGAAAGCAGGAGTTGGGGGAAGTCATTACAGGTGCAGTGCACAGTCTTAGCCATTTACAGACTTGGAAAACTTTTAGCAGATTGGTAAACTGTTGCTTTCAGATTGCATTTTTGGTTATAGCAGTGTTCCATACTGGATCCTATGCTGCTTAATATGTTGATTAATGTTCTGGAAGAGGGATGAATAGTGAGACAGCAAATTCTGCAGATTACACAGTTATTTAGGTTAGTCAAGAACAGAGAGACAGAGAGGAACTGCAGAAGGACCTAACCAAAGCCAGGTGTGACTGTGCAATGTGGCAAATTAAATTCAGCACTGAAACAGAGTAATGCAACTTTGGTGTGAAAACATTTTATCTACTCATATACACCTTACAGGGTTCTAAATTAACCATATCAATTCAAGAAAGGGGACTGGGGATCCCCGTAGATTGCTCAATAAAGACTTCTACCAATTTGCAGCAGGGACATTCAATTAAACTAAAAGATGGCAAATTCAAAACTGATAAAAGGAAACTTTTTTCACACAATGTGTGAAAAAGTAAGTAAACAAACTGTGGAACTCATTGCCATAAGATGATGTCTTTAGGGGTCAAAATTTAACAAAATTCGAAAAGGGATTGAGCATGTATATGGTACGATGGTTAAGCACTGGAATAAATTGCCTAGAGAGGTTGTGGAATCTCCATCATTGGGGATTTTTAAGAGCAGGTTGGACAAACACCTGTCAGGGACGGTCTAGATAATACTTAGTCCTGCCTTGAGTGCAGGGGACTGGACTAGATGACCTCTCGAGGTCTGTTCCAGTCCTATGATTCTGTGAATATCCAGAGGTATGATATGATATACATTTTGCTTCATGATTTAAGCCAATCTCTTAACTATTAGCAAGTAGGAGGAGACCTAATCTTTTTTGTTTTGCGGTTTTTTGGGGCGAGGGAGGGAAAGAGGGTAGATTGCCCCAAACCTGCCGAATGCAAACTTTATCGCACATTCCTGTGAAGCATCTGGGCACTGTCAGAGACAATACACTGGACTAGATGGAACCGTTCGGAGCCAGTATGGCAATTCCTATGTTTATACATATATGTATATGTATATGTATATGTATATAAAAAAAAGGGGTGGGCCTAAGGTGCCAAGTTCGGCTTCTGATTTCTTTGCCCAAAACTTTCAGGAGTGTTCAGATTTGGGTTTCTGGTTAGTCCACAGGGGCCAGCTGTGAAATTCCGATCTAATGTTTGGATCCAGGGTTTAGGTGCAAGTACATCTATCCTAAGGTGCCTGTAATGCACCCATCACCATAGTGCCTCGGCATCCATATACTTGACACCTATTTTTGTAAACATATGTGTTACATATCAGTACACTCATGCACAAAGTTCTAGGAAAGATCAGACGGGAGAGTTCAATCAATGTTATTCTTCCGGACACGATTATGTTTGGATCCAACAGAGCTTACCTTGTCTTTAAAATCTATGTGGTTCTGTAGGATAGCTCTGTGATATGTGGCCGTCCTCACAAAATCCTGCATCATATTCTGTTGTTGAGATAGACAGCCATAAAACTAAAAGGAAAGGAGGAATGGAAAAATAGAAAAAGATAAAGCCCATCTTCTACCAAACTACCTGTATTTAACAGTAACAAGGGCCTGACCCTTTGCTGCAGAATCCTGAGCTAACTTTCTACCTGGTCCAGTGACTAAGGTCAGAAAAACAGGGAAACATCTATAACTTAGCTTCCACAAAACTAGCATTAGATGGCTTTGTTACCTGAAAATACTGAGCAGCAGATGCCTCTTCTGTTCGCTGATTGAAAACAGAGTGTTCCTTCTTCTGATTCCGGCACCTCTTCAGTGCATTTGAAAATGTGCTGTATTCTAGAAAAGAAAAAAAGAAAAATGGAGCAAAATATGAATGCTACTAACGCACAGAGAGCAAAACAGCATGTTCACAACAAGAACTCAGTGACAGATTTTGTTTGGGAGTGGTGAAGGGGAATGGTGCCTCTTATAAAGTTAACTATTTATTAGCTGACACAACAGTCTCAGCTACAGATGATTATTTACATTAAGAAAAATGTTATGTTAATGCAAAACAGCATAAGATGACGGCAGAGCTGGTAATGGAATGCATGTGTTAAATTATTAGGTTATATTACATGGTATGGAATTCTCCATCTTTGTTAAACTTTGGGGAGCCTTAAGAGAAGAGTCTCAGTATCTGAACTGATTATTGAGCACGTGGGTGGACATGACACTGGTGCCCTGTGGAGAATCCCAGACAGGCCTGTTCAAGTGGCCATGAGTTATAGCTGACTCTGTTGGAGGAGTTTCTTTGTGTTGCAGAAAAGCTGGGTAAAGGGGAGTTAATGCTCAGAGTCCACCTAGAGTAGCCTCGGCCAATAATGAGAACAATAGGGATAATTGGGGGAGGAATGGCTTTGTGCTAGGAGGTATCCATCCTAGGATTAAGTAACAAAAATTTGAGGGGCAGAGGGATGGTCTAAGAAACCACTAACTAGAGGCTGCTGAGGACCATGCACCTTACCAATATTCTAGCTAGCACCCCTGGAACGGGACAGGCTGGGCGTCTGTGGATCTGAACATTTTTTACATTGGACATGTGATAGGAAAACTCAAGCAGGCCCAAAAGCAGACAACCAAATTGCTCAGCAGCTTTTGGATCTGACTGAAAAAACTGAAGCAAAACTTTTCACACAGGGAACAAAAGACAACACGTACTAGAAATTCAATAAAAGTAAAATTTATTTAGAAAAGGAAAAGCTCTGAAAAGAGGTTTCTGCATAAAAGTAGCATAAATGGTAATAAAACCAAGCATGAAAGTCTTTCCTCCTCTGTTCATGGCTGGCTCCTGAAATAAAAGTTAAAACAAGAGCAGTCAGAACAGTTTTAAATAAACCACGCAATACTAACAACTTACTGACCCCCCACGCCAAAAAGAGAAAGGGGAGGTGGGGGAGAGAACTCCAAAACTCACAGGTCTTCAAATAAAAATAATTAATTTCTGAGGAATACAAAGTACATACACAAGGAAGTAGTCACTTAGTGCTCTAGTCAAGTAGGAACTGTTTGAGTATCAGCCCTTCAAACCCAGAGATCTGGAAAATAAAAATAGAACAGCAGTTAATTAGCCAACAATAATAAATCTCAGAATATGGTAACCAAAGAAAACAATCACCTCCTCCATCCTTTCTTCGATTTTTGAGCTTCCCAAACCAGGACTTAAGTTGTACTGGTCCCTCTCTGCTGGGGACAGCTGCCACAAACAAGGCAAAGACAGATAGGAAAGACAGCAGCTGGCTTTCCTAACCCAGCCCATAAAAACTTCAACAAGTTGGACATGAGCTTTCCTAAGGGGAAACACACACACAACACAACAAGAAAAAAAAGTAGAACTGATGAATCAAATACAAATAAAGGGTTCTACCCTATTGTCCTTGCTCAGGCAAACCTTAGTCAATGGGAGTTCTGTTTGAGTAGGAACTTCAAAGACAGACTCAGAACGTAAAATTTTTAAATGTTTGGTAAAAACGTAAGGCAAACAGCATGCAGAACTCACTAGAAATTTAGCAAGCTACTTACTTTTCTGTTGCTGCTACTCAGGTCTTTCAGCCCTTGTCCAAGTAGAGTCACTAAATCTGGAAGGGTGGACTTGAATAGAGTCTCCACCCTCCCTACATATATATTCTGTTTCAGTGAGAGGGCTTAGCACTGATGAGTAAGACAAACACATGCATGATTCCTCAAGCAAGTCTGAACCAAATCATGTAACAACCCACTGAACTTGTGGGGCAACCCAGGGCCAACTAATGCAAAGGCTTTATAAGGTCTACACCTAAGGCCTAGATAACACACTAAGGGGTATAAAGTTCAAAACCCATTGCTCTGGCGGACCCTGCCAACACAACCCCAACAGGGGGCTGTGCATATAGCAGTGGGAGAGTGCAGCAGGCCTGGTTCACTCCCAACCCAACCAGGTACACTTTGGCTGCAGAGGTAAGTACTGGGCAGGGGGAGGGAGGAGGAGCACTTGCTGCTACCATGGCGGGGTGGAGGATCCCTGCTGCCACTCCTGTGAGGCAGGGGACAAGAAAGCCCATACTGCTACCACTATCTCTTTGGGAAGGGCAGGACCCATCCGCCTGCCACTACAAGTGGGGCTCTGTGATGGGATCCCTGGGGTACAACCTGGAACTGGGATACCACTGTGCCCTCTTAATGCTCCAGCCTGGGCTGTATCTCACAATGCTTTGCTAGTGACAAGCAACAAACCCCTCAGGCGCTGTTATCACTCAGCACAACTGCATGTAGAGCCCCACACTCAGCTATATTGCGTGAATGCTCCCTAAGCCACTCACAAATCACACAGAGAAAGGCACCAGCAAATCTCCCAAGCTCCCAGCCTTGCATCCCCGGAACATACTGTCTTGCCCTGGTCAGAAGCCTGTTGCCCCTCCCTCAGTGTGGAGAGGACACGCACCAGCCTTTGTAAACTGAGCTTAGATTTCCCAAGCACTTCAACCAAAACACACTGTTTTTGGTAAAATATAAAACAAATGTATTAACTACAGAAAGATAGATTGTAAGTGATTATAAGTGGTAGGCACAAAAGATCAGAGATAGTTACCTAAGAAAATAAAAAGTAAACATGCAGTCTAAATCTTAAACCTTATTAGACTAGGCAGTATTTGGATCAAGCAGTTTTCTCACCCCACTGGATGTTGTGGGCAGGTTACAGTTCTTAATACAGGTCTCCTTTAAGCCTGGGGCAGCGTTCTTGTTGCTTCCAGCTTAAGTTGGGGAGGAGAAAGGTAAAAGCATGATGCCACTGTTCCCTATTTTATATCATCAGTCCATGTGCCTGGAAAACACTAGCCCAGACGTTTCCTGGTGGACTTTGCTGAGTCACAGAGGTGAGCAATCCCCCACTGTGTGTTGCTTGCGCAACCCTCTTATGGCTTTTGTAAACCCCTTGATTACAACTCCCCTGCTGATTAAACAAATACTCTCCTGGGAGTGGGTTGTACGATATATATATTAATTATATGTCATGGGTGAATATGGAGGATCCAGAGTGCTGCATTGAGGTAGAGTGCCACAGGCTCCTGTGTGAAGATGGGGCCATGGTCAGTGAGCAGGGCCAAAGGATTGGGGTGGGGAGAGAGCCTGCCTTGCCATATGAGCCTAGGGTCCTGGACTGACTACATCCAGCCCTGCCTATAAGCAATCTGGAATCAACATTGCCATGACATGATGTATCGCTGACATGCCCCTTTCCATCCCTCACAGCACAGAAAAAAAGTAAATTTGAGAAACCTCATTAAAAAGATATTCAGTCTCCATGGGATGAACAGAATCTTGGGAGGCCCAGCTGCTTGCCCTGCATCTAGAGGTGGGCCAAAAACTAACCCATTTCACTCTACTGCTTTACTTCATGGGAAGATAACAGCAGAAAACAATCCTGTGTCAGGGGAAAAAGTTTTTTCCAAAAACAGCCAATATCTTATGCCTCTTCCATTCCTTCTTAATTATTTGAAAGGTGAGAGCTGGTGCAATAGCTTTGCCTTCCTTTCCCCTCCAAGGACAATCTTCCCTTTCAGACACACACATTGTTTATCCTGTGTTAACACTTTTGCAGAGAATAGGAACCTTAACTATGACTCATCTTTGATCTCAGAGGATGTGCATGGTGGGAAGAAGAGAAAGAACTATGTTCATCTGCTCGTTGTACTTTCTCCTCTGGGTCTGGATAGATGATTGCAACAGTAATTGTCCACTTACGATCCCGGCAAATTATAAAATTAACAGACATTGGGTTAAAGAAGAAAGAATAGTGGTCCTACATGAAGTGTTCCTACAAAAGTCTGGTCTTTTTCAGTACTGGCCTCGGATGCCCTTAGTCCATCAGTTTCCTTTACATAAGCCCTGGGTGGATGCTGGAAGAATATAAGAGCCTCTTGAAGAATGCAAAGGGGAGAAATGAGGAAAGAGACAGATGCTCCATGTGTCCCTCCCCACTCTCCTCAAAAATACAGAATTGATTAAAAAATCCCTGCAGTTGGCTACTAGAACTTGCCGTAATAGTGGAACTGTACTGCCATCCTGTTATCCAAATATCACACAAGGTACTCAAGATTCAGGAAGAAAAAATACCGGCTGCATTACATCTTCTAACTCCCAGCAAGCTTACAGTAAGCTTTTAATCCTGTCTCTATTTTCTGTGTGTACCTCAGTGGCTTACGCTACAGAAACTATTTGAGCAACTTTTATATAAAGAAATACGAATCTTGATCATCATTTTTGAGTAAGAAACAATGGATCCATTCCAGCAAAATGAAAAATAAATCTTAGCTGAATAAATTAAAGCATCAGTTTACAACGTTGCCATGAAAAAATAATTGTTTCACCTGTTTGAAATCCCCACAGCCTTCTATCCAGCTTCTGACTGAATCAACGTACCATACAAAGCTCGCGCCTCTTATTTTGTTTCCATCTACTGAAATTTAAATGTTAAGCCCCTTCAACCTTTACAAATATCACGTCTAAAGAGAGAGTATTTTACTTATGCAGATCAGCCTGCAGATAGAAATTATGATTGCAGCTTGGAGATTTGATTTTTTAAATTTATGTTTGTTCTCTTCCTCATACAGGACACTGTTCCTAACAGGAAATCATTTAGATTTCTTTAGGTAATAAGTATTCATTACAAGGTTACCGTTTTCAGATATTGTCTGTTACTTGCGTTTGTCTATGTGAATCCCATGGTAAACAGCCACAGTTCTACATGTTTACCATTGACTGTGTAAAAACTGAACGAATGACTGAAAAAAAACCTGTAAATAAAATGGATACAGAAGATAAATGAGAAGTGACAATCTGTAAAGGAAAGCTGCATACTTTGAGTTCTTTTTAGTATGAATGGGGTGACTATTTCATTCATAGATTGTTCCTGAAGGAGGCAGAACATTGCAAGCTATTCTGTCTTCTATGTGAAGCAGGTATTTCCAATAACTCCTTTGGTTCCATTTGCAGCCCACACACTGATGTAGTATTTTTCCTTTCTGGTTAATTACCCTACTTAACACAAAAAATCTCTTCAAACGTCTTTTAAAATTTACAACTCCTAGCTGCTGCTAACCATCACAGATCTTATGAATATGTTCACGATCATATATTGATTAATGTTCTTTGATTGAAACCTAGTTTTCTGACTTCCCAGAAGGCTAGGAATTTAATCTGCTCCAGCAGATCTGGAGACATGCCAAAAACACTACCCCAGCCACTATGAAAATGGACTATGTATACTTCTGTATTTAACAAAGATTTTATCCCAAATTGTCTTATTTTAAATATCTATTCAACTTCAGAATGTAAAGCAGGCTTTCAAAGCTGCATGCCAGTAGGAACATTCATAATTTTACTTGGACAACTAAAAAACAGTGTCCATGTACAGGAAAAAAAAAAAAAAAAAAAGGTTAGATAACTTAAGGCTGACCGTTCTCTGTAGTCTCTTTGTTGAATCAGAATTACTTGCAAGTCTTTGTTTGAAAGTAAAGTTCAAAAATAATCTACCCCAAGAATGGTTAAACACATAACTGGCACACTTCTGGGTTGCCCTGATTATAACTCTACATTTTCCAACCAAGTGCCAAACACTTGGCACTAAAAATCTATTCAACATTCCTGCTTGATTTTCAAGAACAAAGAGAATATTTACTGTTAATCCTAGGGCCCCATGTACCTTACCAAAGTTCCAGGACTCCGTACAACAAGTTTTCCTTCTAGTACGGTAGTGGAACTGATTCCCTTTTCAGAAGGCTGCTGGGTTGCCAGAGATGGTGCCACACTACTACCTGTAAGATTGATTCTGCATCTCTGTGTCTTTAAAGTACTTTGTACTGTTTTGTGGTCTGTAAATCCAAGTACAGCACTATTTAACCAAGCAGCGCATGGCCTAGTAATCTGAGTCTCAAAATCCAGACTCCTCTAACTTTGCTCTGACAGAGGCTCCTTCTGTTGCCTTGGGCAAATTACTTAATCTAGCTGCTTGTTTCTTCATAGGTAAAACACAGTAATGCTTACCTACCTACTTCAAAGTTCTTGTGAGGATTAGATTTTCAAAAGCATTTAAAGGTCATCTGCAAAGGAAAAGATACTGGGTTTTGCGGCCCTTTTTGCTTCTTTATGTCATATAAGGATGGCCTGAAAATTTTTTGCCACCTGCGTCCCAAAAAGTTTTTTCTTTTTTTTTTAAATAGTAGAAATTCAGGTTTTTTCTACTTTGGTCTTCCTTGAAGATACGATGGACAACTTGAGAATTGGAAGGATGATATCATAATATCAAGCAAGTCAAATCAATTTGAGAGGGGAAGTGCTTATAATATTTTGCTAAATAAAACCAAAATCCCAACCACACTTATCTAACTCACAGTGTTCTATAAACAGTTGAAAGGAAAAATCTGTCAAAGTTTCAACTCTTTTCTCTCCACTAATTCATATTATGAGACCTCTAATAAAATCCTTCAAAACCCCGAAATTCTTGAAATTCTGAAAGACTTGAAATTCCCTAGCCTCTGTTTGCCAGAAGCCAGGAATGGGCAACAGGGGATGGACCACTTGATGATTGCCTGTTCTGTCCATTCCCTCTGAAGCACCTGGCATTGGCCACTATCAGAAGACAGGATACTGGGCTAGATGGACCTTTGGTCTGACCCAGTATGGCCACTCTTATGTTCTTATGTAATTCTCAATATTTTTAAGTAAAAAAACCAAGTAGTTTTATTTATTGCCTTTTTATACACATCAGAACGAAGCAACAAAAAAGGCACACCCATTCGGTTTCCTTTTCAGGTCACATAAGGTGGAAATTGCTATGTGCAGTAAACGACAAGTATTTTTAGGCACTGTGCAGCAGTCACCAATACAGCCTTGTCTAACAAGCAAAATTGCATCAGTTTGACTAAAATTGGTTTAAAAACCAGTTAACCTAAACTGGTTCAACCCCCCTATGTAGATACTTTTAAATCGATTTAATCCTGTCTCATGTTGATTTATCTTAAGTCAATTCCTTCACAAATTAAGTTAAATCAATTAAACCAGGGTGTATGCAGGGGTTAGTGCCAGTTTAACTAAACTGATTTTAAAACAGACCTTTAGTTAAACTAGCGCAACTCAGTGTGTAGACATGGCCTTATTAGTGA